CTCTTCACAGGGCTGGACACAATCTGATGCAATATGACATAAACTGCTCTATTTTTAGCTCTCTGAATTACTGTTAATGAAGAATATTTTGAGGATATTTTTATTAGAGGAGTAGTGTTACATTCTAGTAATATTAGAACCCCTGTCTGTCAGAGTTTTTTTTTTCTTTTTTTTTTTTAAAAAAAAAGGGGGTGGAGAAGGGAAAGGGAAAGGGAACAGGGAAGGGAAAGGGAACGGGAAATGGAAAGGGCAAGGCAAGGGAAAGGGCAAGGGAAAGGGAGAGGGAAAGGGAGGGAAAGGGAGAGGCAAGGAAGGGAAGGGAAAGGAAAGTTCCCTTTAACGTGGAGAACAGTTCCCTTTCGTTCCCTGGCCCGTTTCCCGGTCCCGTTCCTCGGCCCTTTCCGTTCCCTGTCCCTTTCCCGCGCCCCTACGCCCTTTAAAGGAAAGGAGGAAAGGCAACCCCAAACCCAAATTTGTTTCCCAGATGGGTCCATGAGGTCGCATTTTGCCAGCAGTGCTGGACACCAGATTGCACTGGGACTAAGATTTGCTGGTACCCAGACATAAGTTCTCATGGCTGCAGCCGCTCAAGTATACAAGGGGATGGTGACATCTCATGACCACAGTATGTCTCTTTGGGTACTGGTATTACCCAAGGCAAAAGCTGATCACTTGCATATTTGATGGGGGAAAACTTTTAAAGTCTTCAATTTCTTTTTGATACTGCAGTCAAAAACTAATATGGATTTTGTTCCATTCAACATCTGGTCCAAAAATGTGCATTTCCACTAAGGAAAACACAAACCAGAAAAGGCAAGCCAAAACAAACACACACAAAATGTTACTATTGTTTTTACATATTTTATCCAGATAGGATTTTTAATATGTACAGAAACTGTATCTGATATGCAGTTGGGTCTAGATATGGAACTTGAAAAAATGAGTTTCTTTTCATGCATATCATTTTGTTTTATTTCAGTCTTTGCTAGGTTTTTCTACTTTACTGGCAGCACAAAACCCTCAAATTGTATTTTCAGTATATGATTTATATAGGTATAAAAATATGTGGAATAAGAAAGCTTTAATGTTATATTTCACAATTCATTTAACAAAGTAGCAGCAGTTAGAAAATTTTACTTGGCAAGATCCTACTGGGGTGGGAGTGGGCCTGTATGTGGAAAATGGACCTAAAGAATGTTCCTACTATTAGTCTGAGGCAGCACGGTCCAGCAATGGGAATTTGCTTTGGGAAGTAGATCTTGCTGTAAACTATTTGAGATTAGATACGAGGTGCTGACATATGACAAATGAAACTGCTGAATGACTGGGTCATACAAGCTAATGATTTTCAGTCTTTAATCAGGCACCTACCTTGGCATAATGTATCAGACTTGAGTAAATAAGTACCTTTAAGGCTCAGGGTCGAAACTCTGATGGGAATTTGGCTGAGGAAAAATAAGTTGGAGGGACATTTGGGAAGAAAATGCTAGTCATTCTTTGTTCACAGTACTGCGTGGAGAGGGCCAAATACTACTACTTTTGCCAGGCCCAGTAGCACCTTGCAAGTGGGAAGCTCCTAGAGATACCAAGTGAAAAGGTGCAGCTGTCCATGTAAATGGCAAGCTGCAAAGCAGCAGGGCCTGCTCCGGGATCTCCACACTGCGCCTTGTGGGGCTTCACAACCACACCTCTGGAAAAGCCTGACTGTGCTGGCTTGCTAACAAAGAGGAATGCTCAGCAGCATCTGTGTAGAAAAGGGAAAAAATATAAAAAAATCTTACTTTGAATCTGCTTAGTTTGGGCCTTGTATTCCCTGACCTCCAAGTTTTTGGGCACAATTTTATACCCACAGCTGACTGTGGGCACACAAATTATAGCATTCAGGAATTTAACTACCTGATGATTGGGCCTGTGCTCAGTGTTGTAACCCCAAGCATTCCACATTCATGAGAGAAGTCTCAAAACAAAACAAAACAAAACAAAACAAAAAAAACCTGCAAGATTGGCTTCAGGATCATGAATTAATACATTTTGAAACTTTTTTTTTTCTTCTTGTGGCTTGCATATTCAAGTTCTTTCACAATTGTAGATGTCAGGAATATCTGAAAAAATACAATGATGGAATCTGATTCCTGTACACCAAAATGACTCATGGAACTGCACCTTCAGAAAGACAAAAAAGAAAAAAACAAAGCAAAAGTTAGGATAAAGTTGCTGCAGATGGTACTACAAAGTGTGTCTGGCAGTGCTGTATATAAAAAACAGTGTCTCAACCAAATACACAGAGATAAAGATATATACACATGCACATATAAATATAAATATACATATATGAAGATATCACCAATGGCACCTGAGTGGGTAATATCTTGTTTTGCAAGAACAACAACATTCTCTGTTGTAGGAGGTAAGCATTTCAACAAGAGAGAGCAAGGCTCCTCAAAACAGTGTCCCGAGTGTTAAGTCCACAGATAACCAGGAGCCTCACAAGCTTCACCTCCTCCCACTCTCTGGGCCAGTTACTGATTTGGCCTTTCCAAACTAAAAATCAGACATCACACGCTCACAGAACCTGATAAAACATATGCTAAACCACAAACCTCTGCCCTTCACCAAGAACTGTTACTTAGGGAGGAGAGGAACACAAATCAGGCATGGTGGCTCAGTCCCATTGCTAATGCTTTCCTTACATCTTGAAGTCCTTACATCCTGTAGTGCTTGGTGAAGTTGCTGTATAGAAGGGTACCTCCATTCAGCTTCTGTTATGAATTTTGCTGCAGTGCTTGTGTCTGCAACTGTATGGTGACCACCAGTCAAAAGAGAGAGCTGTAGAAACAGCTTGGTTTAAAATAATGTATTTCAGCAATGTCAGTGAAACAAGCAATTAAAGAAAAAAGAAGTATATATATACATAATGCACATCTAAATACCAATAGATTATTTCAACAGAAATTTGTGGAACAGGATTGTATTATTTTTTTTTAGGGGCATGAGGAAGGAAGGTCTTTGAAAAAAAATCACATTCTTCTACAGATGAGTAGAAGAGTATTCTACTCACAAAGTAGAGTCAGAGGAATCCTGACAGACTCTAGAGTATTTCATAAGGCATCCCTCTACTTGCAGCTACTGAGCTACTGTAACATTGCTGCCATTGCAGAAGGTGGCACTATTTTTTTTTTTTTTTTTTTTTTTTACTATGGAGAAGACAGGTGGGTGATACAGTTCATTAGAGAGCAGTGGCTGTTCCAGTGTCCATAGAAAGCAGCTCATGCTAGCCTTGCTGATTTTACTTTTAGAGTATTGCAACTGCAGGAGCTTCTTCCTTAACCCAGTAACCCTTGCTGCAAGCCACCTTTTCTTCCTCTGAGCACTGAAAGGCAAACTGGACACTGACATTGGAAAAGCCTGTGGTTCCAGAAAGTCTAAGGTATTTTTGACTTGGATGCTCAGCTGTCTTGTACTTGCTACTGTATGTTGGCAAGTCCGAATAAAAACCAAATATTCTCTTTAATATTGAAACCCCAAAAATTTGGGAAAAAAAAACAAAACGTACAATTTAACTGAAACTTGAACAACTCAGGAGGGTGCCCTCTATTTGCAGGGACAACCAGATCTGTACAGCTTTTATTTTAAGGCCAGTTTCTTAAGCAGTAAGCATTTTTTACTTCCCTTCTGCTTCATTATGCCATTGTACTCAGATTTCGTCTCTTTTATCCTTTGCCCACTTCAGTCATGTTCTGGGATATGCAATGAAACCACTATTGGAGATGGTCCGCAGCATCAGTAATGCTTCAAGACAAGCCTGGTAGCTCATATTTCTTTGTTAGCATCCCATCGTGAAAGAGAAAGATCAGTTTGCTTTGTTCTTAGGCCTTGATTTTCATAAGCTAATGATGACTGTGGGTGCAGTTGTGGCCAGGCTTAAGTGGCAGCCCAAGGGCAGAAAAACAGAGAGGCACTTCCCTGAGGCCAGTGTCCTCTTCCCACATATACAAGAGGCAGGAGGGCATCTCCCTGCCTTGCCCAGGGCTGTGTCAGTGCCCAGGGAAGGAGGGATGAGCCAGCTGTGGTGTGGCTGAACCACAGATGAGGCTAAAGATGAGGAGTGGAGCATGAGCATGAATGTCCTCTAGTGTTGGAATTCTTCTTAGGGTCCACCTGATTCTGGGTTAGCCTCTTCCAGAGGCTGGTGGCAAGACCATCACTGATCCCTGAATGCACATCCATGATGGGAGGGAGGCATACTTAGGTATTACACAGCCATAGCAATAATAAATAATCCCATTTCTCTTTAGCTCACAGCTCAGCAGAGCCCTTTGGTGGTTTTTATTTTCTCTAATATTGCACAACGATTGCCCCAGGGTGAAAAATATACTTATGTATGAACATTTGCATGATATGGGGCGAGGTGCAAGAAGTGCTGCTTTTAAGGGTGATGATGTGCTCTGTGGGTTAAATAGTTAATAGGAATGCTGCTATTACCACTGCCAGTGTAGGCAAAATTTTGATTATGCAGTGAACATGCACCCAAAAAGTATAGTTCCGTGAATTTTAAAGCTGTTCAAAATTTTAAAATATTTTTTAAATATTACTTAAAGCAATTAAGATTAAATACTCTGAATCTTAAAACACTGTTTGAAAACTTTTCTATTTTCTTCTGCTTTCAAAATGAAGATGATATGATTTTATTTTTTTTTTTAAGTCATTGTAGTCTTGTTTTGTCTATAAAGACATCTTCTGAAATTTCATTAAATATTTTCCAATATTTGGAAATAGAATGAAAATATTTTTTAATGAAATGACAAACCACTGTGTTTCTCATCATGTAAAACAAAATGTGTTACAAGCATTCTGCTGGGAGGCAAGAAGATTCATAGGCATGCATTTGAAAAAATTTCAGCCAGCATTAATGAATATTAATATAAACTAGACAGACAGTTTTAGGTAAGCTTGCAATGTCATTTTCCTCAGTAACAATATGTAAATGTCTATACACATAGGTGCTTGAAGAGAGAATGAAATTGGAGTGCAAGTGTCATGGAGTTTCAGGTTCCTGCACAACCAAGACCTGCTGGACCACACTTCCTAAATTCAGAGAGATAGGATATATTTTGAAAGAGAAATACAATGCTGCAGTGCAAGTGGAGGTGGTACGAGCCAGTAGACTAAGACAGCCAACTTTCCTGAAGATTAAGCAGATCAAGAGTTACCAGAAACCAATGGAAACAGATTTAGTGTATATCGAAAAGTCACCCAACTACTGTGAGGAAGATGCTTCCACGGGGAGCGTTGGTACCCAGGGACGACTCTGTAACCGAACCTCTCCCAATGCAGATGGGTGTGACATGATGTGCTGTGGAAGAGGTTACAACACACACCAGTACACCAAGGTGTGGCAGTGTAATTGCAAATTCCACTGGTGCTGCTTTGTGAAGTGCAACACATGTAGCGAGCGGACAGAGGTGTTCACCTGCAAATAATGGCATAATGTGCAAATGAACAGAGCAAATCACCACAAGTGAAGATAGTGGAGTACAACGAATGATGACAGCATCATTTTGCACATCTAATGTTCTTTGGGAAAAAAATAAACCAACACAACGACCAATCTCTCCCCACAACTTACACCTCACAGATGGTGCATTTTGGCTGGCAGGCTGTTGTGACTGCTTTGGAAACAAGGGCAACAGGATTAAGGTGATGTTGACAACTACATGACAACCTTTTCTCTCTCTCTTTTTTTTTTTTTTTTTTAAACAAACAAACAAACAACGTACAATCTGTTGTAGAGTTCTCCTAGTAAGTGTTTTAAGTTATACATATCAGAGAAGCTGATTGCATTACAGCTCCCATGAAATTTTAAAGAAAAAGACACATTCTCATATTTTACGACAACAAAAGCACAAAGCCCTGTGCAAATAAAGACATTTTTTAGGAAATGAAATCTTCACTGACTAGAACAAAGCAGTCTTGCTGCAAAAAAATTAATTGCTAAGAAAGCAGGTAGAGAGAAAACTACAGCTGGTAGGGAGACAAAATCTGTGGCGGAAGTACTCCACTATTACAGCTTGAAAAAATAAAGTTCACAAAATTACATCAGCTGCCAGTGACACTGGAACTCTTTGAATGAACATTAAAATAATTATTTATGTTTTTAATAGTATCAAAATTTATAAGCACTAACGGGTAGCTATGTCTTAATTCTGTACTAAATGTAAACTGATTGGAACTCTAACTTTATGATTTTTGTATTTGGTTCTCCCTAAGTTCTTCAATGCTACTGATCTGTTGTCACTCCACTAATAGAGAGTTTGATTACTGTAGGCCTTAAGCAATGACCAGAACTGAACAAAAAGATCATGTGAAGCTGTGGTTACAAATGCTTGATGAAGACTTTCCCCACTTGCCTCCTGAATGACTCTTCTAGATTCAGGCTTCAGGTGTGGATCACCTACCCTCAGCTCCTTGTAGGGAGATTCAGGATACAATGTCATGCTCTGACAAATATTAAAGATTTGCTTTGCAGTCAAATGCACTGGCAAGATCTTCCAAGCATGACACTGCTTTTAATGGTTAAAACATAATATTATCAATAGTTTTTGAAAAAAATATCCTCAGCATGAGCTGAGAAGTTAATAAAAATATGGTAGCTGAACACTAGGTTGCTGCAACCTGTGAGCTGCCGTGGCTTCATGACCATAAGAAAGCCAAAATTTGGGTTAGTCTGTGTCACCATTATTCTAAGGTTGGCCCAGTAAATGCATGAATGTTAAGAAAGAAGTGGACTTTTAATACCACCATTCAATTCTAATTTACACACCTTCTCCCTATGAGAGATTTTTTAAAAAACCCTCAGACATTTTACTACTGTAGAACCTAGTGGTTTAAACTCCAAGTGCCAGATACTTCCAGGTACAATACAGCATATTTAATCACATTAATTTGCTTGCATCAGGGATCCTTAGCTGAATTTCAGAAAAATTGGATTTAAAATTTCCTAATGTCTGTGTATCTGCATTTCTAGCTTTTGTTTCATCCTGTTACCTTTTGTGAGGGGCTGCACAGCCATGAGGCCTCCTCATCCAACACGGAAGCACATGCTACACCACATTGTGCTCTTGGGGCAAGGGGCTGGTGGAGCTGCCATGCCACCAGCTCCCATGCTGAGTATGTAGATGATCCAGGATTACCTCCCAAATTTGTGGTCCTGTGTTATCTAAGGTAACCAGCCACTTGGGCACCTTGGTTTGAATGCTCATGAGGGCCTGCCTTTCTGACCACAAGCCTTTCTTACACTCTGAAAATCATACCCTTTTGATGGGTGTTCCAAGGATCAACGCAAACTCAAATCACTCATGCCTTTTTGTTGTTGCTACTGGTTTCTAAGTGACAACTAGAGTTTCAAACTCAGCCTTGGCATAAATGAATGCAATCCCACAGAAGTAAGCAGGGGTCCCCAAAATGCTAGAGTCAATTGATATAATTTAAAGTTCCCTAGATTTATGGGTACTGTTGTTGAACAATAGTGGTATACTGTACTTTCACTACATTCTTGACAGGAAGCAAATAAAGCTCCCAAGCACAGTAATGCACAGTCTTATGGTACTAGATACTGTAAATATATTAGGATAGTATTTGTTAAGTACAATTGAGGAATCCAATTAAGTTATATTATTGTATATCGTTTAAATGTCTATAGAGTATTTTAAATTATTGTGAACTACACTGCATTAAGAAATGAAAAAAGGTTATATATTATAACACCATCCACTCTGAAAAGTGGACCAAAATGACACTTTCTTTTTTTTTACACACCCCTATTTCATAGCTCTGTCAGCTATTCAGAATTGTAACAGTCTTACGATTGGATTAGCTGTCTAGAATATAGTGTTTCAGAACATCCTATAAAGCCTTGCTCATGTGGGGGTGCAGCATTCAGAAAAGTAGTGTATGGCACAAAACAGGGGCTGACCACAGAAGTTCATGGACTTTGAACTATGTACCAAGAAAAAGTGGTTTTGGTCAGAAAACACCATTACCACTAATACACTGAAATGTCAGAAAAAAAAAAAAAAAGAAAAAAGAAAAAAAAACTTTTCACAAAGGTGTTTATGAACAGAAGTAGGTTACACACAACTTTTCTTTTAAAAAATGTAGTTTGATGTTAAAGAACTGTGACAATAGGTGTTTGAACACAAAAAGCATCACAACATGGTTTAAGCGTACATTAGCCATGACAAAATTCAAAATACTGTATGTTATTAAAAAATATAAGAACAAAGATCGATTTGTTTACTATGTGAATGTTTTACGGCAAGCAGAAAAGATGAGAAGTGTTTCCATTAAAACTTACTTTTTTCCCCTTCTAGCCCACTTTTTTTTTTTGTTGTTCATTATTTATTTAGAAAAAAATGAAAAAAGACAAAGGCTCCTCTGGATGAGAAATGGCATGCAGATTCCAAGTTCTAAGCAGGTTTTATGTTTGTGAGAAATGGTAATGAGCAGTCCTGTGTTTGATATTGAAGTCCAGAGTCATCTATCTACTTTAGTGGTAAAGTGAACTTTGTAGTAGCACCAGCCTTGATATTACCAGAGATGTCCATTGGCTCAAATGAGACAGAGATAAATGTTTTCTGATAGAAATGTGTCTTCAGACTCCAAAATGCTGCCCTTCCACAAACCCCATGTTATTGATTAGTGAACAGAAGGAAACACAGGCATATAGGAGGTCTGAAGGCCAGCACTTGCATGCACTCCAGCTTATTTAAGCAAGTTATGGACACATCTGAAAACCTAGCTAAATCAGGACCTAAAAGATTTTACAGCATTTACTTTGCTCAGAATAGCAGCAACCTCCTTGCTAATGGAAATAGTGTATTCCTATAAGAAATCTAAAGAAAATGCACAACATTTGTTATATTTGTCCGTTAGGATAGATATCCAGCTATAGATAAGGGTATAGCCAAATTCCACATGAACTAAGTTGAAAGTAACTTCATTAAATGACAGGAGTATAAGTATGCATAGCATTTACACACAGATTCCAAAGAAAACACTACACGTTCTTTCGAATTACATCATGAGAAACTTGTTAATAGAGCTGCAAGAAGTTTTTATAGCAAATGGTAATATTGCATTCATTTCAACAATGACATCTGAAAAGTAGAAGAAGCTAACCAAAAGGTTTGTAAATATTTTAACAAATCTAAAGCATGGTGTGAATAGGTCACTTAAAGTTTCCAGCAATTATTTCCAAGGATTTATTTGATTAAGATTTAAAATCAAAAGTGATATTAAACATAACAAATTGAGACCTTCCCTTTTACCAACCTTCCCATGTGAATAACTTGATATGTAATTATGCCTTTCACTACTGAAGTCACTCTCAACGTTCAACAGAAAATACTTTCTATAAAGCTGGAGATAATTTGCATTCATAGAAATTGTCATAACTAGATGAAACAACTGCACATTTCCTTTCCAATTGCTGGGACCTTTTGTTGCAGTGGCAGTTCCCATAGCAAGGGCAGTATAGTAAATAGTACAGTAAAGTGTTATTCTCCCAGAGTGACAGCCACAGTGAGACACAAATATACACAAACAATTCTACATCCAAGGGAAAACGTTGAGGTGGAAAGGCAGAAAAGGTTGCAAGTAATTTCAGTTTGTGATACTGAGACTGTAAGAAACCTCTTGCATGGAAAACAAACTGCATTGTAAGCTGAACATGCAATGTTCACATACAATACTTTTCCCCTCAAACCCAAAGTCCCTGTCTGCATCTCTGCAAATTCAGAAAATTTTGTTGGAGAAAAACCATTTGCAGAGATTGCCAATTATTTCCCTTTCATGTTTTAGCTGTTATCAGGAAATTGTAGGGGATCATTACCTGACAAAGAACATACAATTGTAAATTTAAAATTTGTATCTAGTTTTTTTTTAAATTAAGATCTGTTTTTCTTTCCCCACCAATTCCTCTGGTACAGATATATGTATGCCAAAAGATTTGCCTGGTGGAGAATAAAGATGGCAGTTTTTACATAATATATACTTGTTGGTCATAATGTGTTCCACAGAGCGCTAAGGTAGAGGGTATAATACTGCTTTAAATTTCAAACATTTATTTGTATTGTTTTAACGGATAACAGTACACTAAATATGAACTGTTTGGAGACCCAAGTGCAATTCTATTTTATAGTATGGTTCTTCTCATAATTTGGTACTATGGAAGGCCAGGAAAATGAGAATAATAAAGTTTACTTCGGTTTTGAGTCCTCCTTCCAGGTCCTCACAGCAAACAGACAAGATCAATAAGAAACCAGATTTATGATTTTTAAATTTGTGCCTAGGTATTAAAAAGTATTAATATATTTGTTTCGTAGATGATTCCAAATAAATGTCGCTGAACTAGCCACTGGAAATATTTGTATTGAAAGCCAGCTGTATGATTAGCCTCTATCTTTATTTGCCCCACAATTTAGGGAAAAACAGCATTTTAGACCCATGCAGCTAAAAGGAATTCCCAAGGAGATTATAATATTTTGATTTTATTGTTTAATTCCTTTAACTGAGGGTGAAAACGAACATTCCCTACTTCACTGAGCAAAGAGAAAATTAAAAGCATTTTGAGGACTACTCACACCACTCATCTTAAAAGGCTGGCTAAGAGGGCTCACTGCCCTTCAGGGCTCCTTCCAGGATGGTCAGGGGATGTCTTGGTTCAGCCATGGTCTCTGACCTTCTCCTCCTCCTCAGCTGGAAAAAAATCAAGGAGATGTGTCAGGGGGATTTACCCAATCAAATAAAGCACCAAACATTGTGCTGTGGGAATAAAATCCCATGAGCTATGCCCTTACAGAAATGGTCTCAAACAAAATTGTAAAAGCTGGACTATTATCCAATGATTTGATGAGACAATTGTTTGCAATATGTTTTATTTATTGTTTTGACTTCCTCTTAAAATTTGTGCTGTGTGGAGAAATTAATCCAAGGGTTGAACATTTAATAACATTTTGATACTTGTGAAGGATCCCAAGAAGTGTGCACTGCAATGCTCCCCTAGTTATTCCATGAGATCACATCTACACTTCTATTTCTGGGCTCATCAGGCTATGCCAAAAGGCTCTCACAGCAGCTGCATCCTGATTACTTGCATGAGTTGCACTTTGCCATTAAAGCTGAGTTCAGCCTACATTTTGGTTTGTTAAAAAGGCAGTGAAATTTAATAGTCAAGTATTTTCAATAATGCTAGCCATCACATGGCATTCTCATCTCAACACCTTTCTGAGGTATTATACATTTTTAAGACAAAGAAAAATATACATAGCAGTACTTAAAAAGGGTTTTCCTGCCCAGAGAGAAGAAAAAAGGCACTTCTCAAAATGCAGTGTGTACACCAAATATAAAGTCTAATATGCACACACATCATGCATGTATTTCTGTACACACACATACAAACATACGTAAATACATAAAAATACATAAATATATGAGCGTGTGCTTGAAAAATACACACAGAAGATATTCAGCGCAATTTATGTAAGATCATTGCTAATTTTGTCCCTTTCTAAGGGGAATAGATTCTGTCCCCTCACACTGAACTACAGAGCTACAGATTTTGCACATTTCCTTGCAGATATGCTGTATCATCAGCACCTGATAATGCTTCTTTTATTTGTAGGTCTTTTTATTTATTTCTATTTTTAAAGAAAAACAACAAAAAAGAAACCCAACATTTCACAGCTGGAGAAAGTGCAGATGTGTGAAATCTCTCCCTCCTTCATCTATTCGGGAAGAGGATGCAACATAATTTAGCTCTAAACTATTTGCCAAAGGCTCCAGCAAAAATCTATAGTTAGGACTACTACTCAGATGTCCTGGTTTTTGGACTGGAGCTCTAACTGCCAGCCATACTTGCCATGGTTACTGTAATGTATCATTGGCTGTGATGTACATATATGTACATTTTTATTGGCAAGTACATCACAACTCTTCTTCCTTATCTCTCTCTTTAAAAGATAAGCTACTTAGTATTTGCCCCTGGCTGCTATCAGCAGATGTGTCATGATCTGCACTCACTTTGTACCCATGTTAACCTTTTGAGCAGATGCAGGCACTTTCAGTCATAAAATCATCACCAGTACGCTCTTTTAGTATATTTACAGTAATGAGTCAGACAAATGCTTTCTCTTTTTAAAAGGTTGGAAGCAATGCAGCAGGACAGGTTTGTCCACCCACCACATTTTGTTCCAGCAACTCTGGCACAGAGCTGCATCTGGGATCAAATAGTCTTAGGAAGCCAATGTGCAAAGTTTGAACAGTAGGCTAAAGTAAATATATAATGGTGTGGGAAAAAATCTCTTGTTTGTTAATATTAGGTGATCTGTTGTTCAGGACAAGGAACTGGAGCGTTGTTGGATTATGTTCAGTTGTCTTAATTTCACTGCATAGGTTGCTTTCCTCTCTGTGTTGGTGTGTATGTGCATGCATGAGGACTTAAGAAGCATTTAAATCAATGCCTTAATACATTTTTCATCTCATAAACAGGAAAATAATGGGGCAGGGGGTGGGTGGGTGGGAATTAGTAGAAACCTAAATGAGAAATACCTGGAGTTGGCTCGCAGCAACATGGTAAGAAAATATGTGCTTTGGAAGGTTCAGCTGACTACCTAATGCAAACCACTCCTGAAGGAAGGAGAAAGAATGAGGAAGTCAGCTTGTGGTCAGCAGCTTCTCTGCCCGTGATATCCAGTACATAATTACTGCAGGGCTACAGTTCAGCCAGCTTTTGACAAATGAACTACCAAGAGTTTTCTCTGCATGTTTTCTATTCAAGTGTGTTTAGTCATAAATACTTGGTTCCAATGGCATTTTCTTAGTCAAACAGAACCACTCCTAAGCATTAATAATACTTCTTATTCTTACTATAAGCCTCTGAACAAGATTCTTTTATTCTGGTTGAAGGTCTCTTTACAGAAGTTGAGTACCCTGGACTTTCTCCACCCACGCTAATTTAGACTAATTATACCCCTAGTACTCTTCATCTCCAAACCCTTTGCAACAGACCATACATTCTGTGCTGAAAAGTTTCCATGAAACACATTCTGTGCTGTACAATAAAATTATCAAATTCATTTTACGAAAGGAAAAAGCAATACCAGAAGGCACAATGTTAGAACACCAAATTTCCCTGCTCCTTTACTCGTAGTCAGCTTCTCTTTCTTCAGATTCATAAAATGGCAATTCCTGAGTGCATTCAACGCCCCCAGTAGCGCACTAGAGATATCACCATTTTAGAGGTATCAGTCACAAAGACCTGAAAGAGGAAGTAATGAGCTATAAACACTCCCTGGTAGTGCTGCTGTATGATGTGACTGTATTTGCAAACAATATTAAAATAATAAGGTGTGGAAAATGTTAATTTTTAGTTAATACACATTTTTCAGGATATATCACTTTTTAAAATGAGGGGCAGTACTCATCTTCATTCAATGCATTTTTACAAGCAGATAATAGGAGGTCGTATTCCACTTTGGTGATGGTTTCCTGAAGTGTAAATTAAGATTTAATCCCAGGTGCCCTTACAAGTGTCTGAACCCTTTTTATAATCTTTGACTCTGTATGAGGAACTTAAAACACACATGTAAAATGCTCTTAGTGAAGTACCAACACTGGCAATTTTTGTCTTCAGGTATTCATCTTCTATTTTAATCCCCACCCCTAATTACTGACCAGCAAAGAGAACAAACAGATTTTTTTTTTTTTTTAAACTAATCAGCCAAATGGATACTTTTCCAAGAACCTCTGTTTGTTTTCCTTTAAAAACAGTACCATCTGTCTTCTGTTTAAAACTTTTTGCATTCAAGAGATGCCTCTTCTCCCTAGATGGGTTCACTTGAGCTTCTTTCTCCACTTCAGCTTTTTAGTTAGTTACACTCCCTCACAATCTGATGCCTGTTCAAATGTCTCTACTCAAGCTGAGACAAATCCAAAAAGTACTTGTAAAGGGTGTTGGCCACAGTCCTGAAAGCCTTTCTGCTGGCACTTCAGAGCAGTGAAGTGTTTGCCTGCTCCCATCATCTCCAACTGAATGAGGAGGGAACTGAGTTTATCCTTCAGCCACAGACAACTGCAAGGTAAGCCACAGAACTTAAAGGGGCAATAAATCAAATCATGCCCCGCTCAGTTCCTTGACCTGAAACTTGACAAAGGTGACAGTTATCACCAAATTCAGCTCCCGTTCAGTCGCCAGCAGAGCAAGACTAAGGAATGCCAGGACCCTAAATGAGAGGGTTTTCTAAGCCTTTCTAAACACCTCACCCTAAATATCCTTTTTCAATTTTGAAAATTTTGAATCAAGTTTTGCTTAAAAGCTCTGTGTTCATTTAAATTCCCATATCATACTTCCATTCCGTAATTTACCTATCAAAGAAAGACCTCTAAATGTGGGAATTTAAAGATTGGTCTCACAATAATACTGCAAACCACACACCCAACAGAAGCACCAGAAATAATAATAGTAATACAAACGTCAATAAAGCTGTCACACAAAACTTAAAAAATTGAAACTACTGAAAAGGTGGAGTCTGTGCAGAAAAATAATGTTGGCATAGATTATACTTGGGATGTAATTGCAGCAGTTCTGAGGCCAGAAGGGCTGAACAAACTTACCTGAGCTGGAAAAACAAAAACAAAAAACAAAAACAAACAAACAAACAACAACAACAAAAAAACACCCTGTAACAGAGCTTAGAAAAATATTATTTGGTGAAAAAAGACAGATTAATCAAGACCAAAACAAGGTGCAGCTGGGATGAATCTCAAACTGTTTATAAAAACAGGAGATTAGCAGGTGATAAAACTTTTTAGATGGTGCTTCCTGTTTCTTTGTTTTTATTTCATTTTAATATATTTAAGCTAAAACCTCAAAAAAGGGAAAGAAAAACAGATACAAAAAGGATTTCACAATTATTTGAATGAAATAAGCTGACGGGTTCAAACCAGACCCTATCTTATATACAAGAAATCCTAGAACTATACATTTTTGTGCTTACTTGGAAAGAAAATACTTTCCAGAGTTCTTTTTGTGTGTATGTGCATGATGGGAAAATTATCTCACCCCCAGTTTAAAGAGAATGTTATCTTTTTGAATGTTTTGTTCAAATAGATTCCATAATCTTCCTTCCTCTCCAACTTAGGTAAAAATCTGATCAGGTGATAGTGGTGTAGTTTCAGATTCCAGTTCTGAAAGATGACAAGTCCTTCTTTTTCTTCCCTCTAGCCTTTCTCAGATTTATACATATATATTACAAGATATCTTTCTTCTGAGTTCAGACATCCAAAACAAACAAAACTGGAACAAATAGTCTTTTTTATCTTGGATGAATATTAAAGCTAAAATCAATTAAGACCATTTTTTAAAGGTAGGTTTTTTTTTTTTTTTTTAAAGCAAAACAAGAAAACTCAGTACCATTTAAATAACAGAAGCCTAATATTTAAACAAATCTGGGCTGCCATATGCCATATTCTCTCAGTGTTTTAACATAAGCACAAGTGGTCAAATATGAGCTGACTGAACAAGACATGAATTCTCACTTTTGAAGTATGGTCTATTGGTTAGGTATGTTCCCCTTTTTCTGCCTTCAGAAAACCCTGTTAAAGCTTGATGCCAAGGTCAGGAACAGCAGACGACACTTCAGAGAGACTAGATCAAACCAGGGCACACATGCGTTATAGCAGTGCACTTGCTGTCATGGCTTTTTTCACATCACCATAGCTGTCTGTGAGAGACAAAAATTGCTGTGCCAATAGCCAATAGCCATACCATAGCCAATTTATGGCTAGAAAGTTTTTCAGACATGTCTTGGGTCTGACTAATAGTGCTTGACTTCTCCTTACCATTGGATGTTGTCTACATCTGCATCCCCAGTGGGAGAAGAGGACAGAATGCGAGTCTCCAAGGCTTCATTTGGGAAACTGAAGGTGAACTGCTGAAAAAGCTGCGTAACAGTATCAAAGAAATTATATGAGAGAGATAAGAATAAGATGCAGTCAGTGCCCTAGTACAAAGCTCTTCTCAAGCACCACTGCAGTCCTGTAATGCTAACAGCTCCTTCCTGAATCCCCCAGTATTGAGCCTCTCATAATTGGACAGCACTGGGTCATACCTGTTTTCTTGGTGCTTAACCAAAAGAAAGCAGAAAGTGTCTCTCTTTTCGAGAGAAGTGACAAATCAATGCCACATTAACAGGTTGCAAGGGGAGGGTGCTGTTAGATGTCTTCAGCACAGACTGCAAAGTCACACCAAGCTGGGCAAAGTAAACAAACAAACACCCCCCAGATGATAAAATAAATACGTTGTTTGTGTCTTTTTGGCTGAAAGGCACCAGGGGAACCCATCCACTCACTGGAGCTGAATGGGGTTTCTGCCCTTGGAAAGCTGCCTTGCTGCCAGCACAGAGTCATGGCTGGGACCACGGGGCTGGGCAGGCGTCAACCCAATGCACGGCACACCTCGCTGCCTCGCTTGCAGCTCATGCTGAAGAGATCGTGTTTGCATACTCAGGGCATGAATAAAGGCGAAATTTTCCAAACTATTTTAATGTAAATACAGGGGCGTCCACAGCTAACCAGCATGGCAGTTTGACTGGGATGACTGCCAAGGAACAAATTTAATGCAATGTATTTCATTTACTCCTAACAATGGGTAAATGGCACTCTTTCTGTTTAAATGGCATGCCCACTGCTGTCTACGTGTCTGCCCACAGGTGTTATGCAGTATGAACACTTACGTTTGTTAACATAAATTTGTTCATTTGTATTTGCTTCCCTCTTCTAGCACGGCTGCTAAGCCGATCAAACTGACAAAACTAAACAAGTACAAACACTTCTTGCAAAGTGTGCATGCAACAATTAAAGCACTCTGAGGTAGGGTGCAGAGTTTTAATCACACTGGCCCTTGGCCAAGGAGTTGTAGAAGTGAACTGTGTTTCCCCAGTCAAGGAGGAAGAAGGAGGAATTTCCTCCAAGCCTCTAGCAGAGAGAGATGTGTTGCTGTTGCTCCTTAGTTTTTAGGGCTACCTCCTTGTCCACGCATTTCTACCTGCCAGTGGATCTTCACATGAATACTCTTAGAATTTACGTCCACTGCAACTACTCCTGGAACCATATTAAATAGAAGTATAGATCCTTTTTTCCCCCGACAATTATTTGTGAGCAAACAAGCTTCAATTGAAGTGAATCTATTACCTTATTTGTGCAAATGCTGACAGCTTTGTGTTGCTTTTTGCAGTGTTTGTGAAATGTCAGTGCCAAAAGAAAGCAGAGAAGATATTTTACTGTTACACAATAACAGAGGAAAATGTAATTTTAAATCATTGAACTGAGATGTTTTATAAGATAATAGGCTTAAAAATGAGCATGTTAAAATGAGCATGTTTAAAATGAGCAGAATCAGTTTGCCAAATTGTAACCAAAAAGTTTTGCACCTTCTGAGACCAAACCCCAGTGTAGTACTGATGATGGGTAACAAAGAAAATCTATTTATTCTGTGAGTTTTTCTTTCAAGTTTTTTTTTTTAGTTATTTAATGCATTAGGATGTAAATTTGTGTGTGTGTTGGGGAAGGGAGCCAGGCACTCCCAGAATGTTCAGCTTTGTATTTGCTTTTCCATTGCTGTGAAATAACTGGAAATGCATCTCAGACATTAGCATACAAATAGTTAGACTAAATTGTTTATAAACATCAAACATTATTTGTAGCTCACACACACACACATCTCCATGGAAACAAAGCAATTGTTGTACTTTTAGGATGCAATTTCTCTGCACAGTGAAGCAGAATGGTAATTTATCTGCATCTGGGTGGTTTCACATTACTGTTTGTGGTCACAGATCTCCCCTCCAAATCATCTCTTGGATGTGAAATTAGTTTTGATTACCGAAGAAAAGATTAGATCAATATAAGACAGACAATTTGAAACAGCAGAACACATGTGAACACTGCATTTATTGCACAGGAGTGATGTGAACTATTCAAGGACAGTGATTCAAAGGCAAACCGAGGAATTTCGAAGCCAGTGAAGGTCACTGCGGGCATTTCCCATCTTGCCGTTGCTAATGGTCAATGGTTGTTGCCATCTGCTTGTTGGTTGGCAGCCTAAATGAAGTTGTATTGATTATAGAGTGCGAATCTAAAAAATTAGCATGAAGAGGCATCCTTGCTTATAATCTCTCTGGTAAGGTCAAGGATTGAATAGACAGAGAAATATTTTCCCTCCTTAATGAAGACAGCGTTTTTGCAATACCAGTTTTTAAGTCTAAACAGAGATATACCAACAGAATGTAGGGCACAGTTTATACAGATAGACTTTTAATGTTTTTTTTTTTTTTTTTTTTTTTTTTTTTTTTTTTTTTTTTGATAACAAATAATGTAAGGAATTGAGATCGCTGTCTTCCACCTTGCACTTGAAATGGAGACTATGATTCAAAGAAACATATTCTTAGTCCTAATAGTGTAAATGACAAGATCATCACACCTTGGCAATAACAGCTGTCTACTTGGTCACTCCTGAATAACAGGAGCCCTTCAAGGGGGTTAACAGAAAATGCACAATAATTCATCACAGCAGCATACCAGACTGTACTAAACCATGTCTTGAATTAATAATATATTTTTAACACAAGAAAACACACTAAAATTCTCACACAACTGAAATAATCAGTCTTCTCAACCAAGTTCTGTAAGAGTGGGCTTACAGAATTCTTGCAATTTTAACAAAAAGCTCACAATGAGGCTCATCTTGCAATATCACGGCAGACAACAATCCCAGAGATGTTCTGCCTGAGTCAGAGCTGCAAAGTCACTCCAAAAAGATTGCTCGTAGAAAGTCCCATTACTGCATGAATTCATTTTATTCCCCAGCTAGATTTGATATGAATTGACCCGCATTCTGCTTCATTAAAAAGTGCTCCTCAACTCAGAATGGAAGATTCCTTTGTGCAATCTGTCCTAATAACACTGAAAACAGAATGGCTTCTCTATCTCTGACAGAGGCTCTTTTTCAGAAGGAGAAAAAGGAGTCCTCTCTCTCCTCACAGATGTAAATGCTGCAAAATACTTTGGGAGCCTTTAGGATAAAAAACTGCTCGAGTAAACACAGGGTATAATTATCATCATCTGTCATCTCTGCGAATCCATACATTTTATATTCCACTTAAAACAGAAAAAAATCCTCAGTGGGATGTCTTCCAGCGAACCAATTTAGCTAATGAGACTGAATATCAATGACTGCTGGCTAATCAGAATGGTATTAGCATAAATTTTACTTAATGAGGACATATTTGGCTGGTGCCAGGAGCAAAATGGTACTGAGCTAAAGTGTAAAATGCAAAGGATGTGTTAAGTCTCCACAGAAAAACAAAACAAAACAAAATCAAAAAATACCCTCTCAGAGCAAATACACAGAACTGTATCTGAGGTCACAGTTATACTAGCACTTTCTTTGCAACCTGAGATTTTACCCTCACTTGAGGCTTTTCAAACTTTTTAATTATTACAGAATCTTATCAACCTTTTAACTGCGATGAATAAAACACCCTGGGGAACAGCCTGACAAGAGATTCAATTGAACTCTTTTAACCTCATGTTGGTAGGTAGATCACCAAGGGAACTTGCTTTCTTCTTAATTTAAGGCATGCAATACACGCGCTGTGCTGCACAACCAAAGTATATT